ATAAGATATCGTATAGAAAACTGTTTGTACTGCTGTTGTGGTAACATCGCAAGGTGTCTTCTATTTTCTCTAAAAAAAACAACAAAAAAACACCATGTGCTAAGTCAACAAGTCCCAACTATAACATACTATGCGGGTATCCGCGACCCCGATACTTAGAATACCATAGATATCATTTAAATATTGATTTCCCCAGTCTTTTTTGAGATTATGAACGAAATAGACATCGTTCAAAAATATATGTCATCAAAATCTTTTAGACCAATTCCGTTAAATTATCTCACGTCGCTGATAAGCAAAGCTACACTCTTTTCCAGTCAGAATGTGCATTTTCATACATCTTTCCTATTTCCTATAATAATTGGTGGTATAGAAATGCGACGTAAAATACTCATTCTTCAAACTTCATTAATCTTATACTGTATTGTTCAGCACATTAAAACATAATGTATCTTGTTACCAGAGGACGATGTTAGGACTGTTTTCAATAAGAGTTACCTCCCCTCTTCGTGACATGTTTAAGACAAAACTCCAAAAGGCCATATGGCAATGTGTTTGGCTAGTTGTACAACGTATCCAGTCTTTGTATTTGGTTTATTTGAGTTTTACGTCCTATTAACAGCTATGGTCATTTAAGGACGTATCAGGTTTTGGTGGTGGAGGAAAGCTGGAGTTCCCGGAGAAAAACCACCGACCTACGGTTAGTACTTGGCGACTGTCCCACTGAGGTCTCGAACCCGCGACCCAGTGTAGGAGGGCTAATGGTAGCAGAATGTCAGATGCCTTAAGTATAACCGCTTGGCTACCGGGCCCTAGTCATTGTAATCGATTGGTCTTTGAAAAACCGCGTATGGAAATTACTCTCGTCGGCTGTGAAGAGCAGTACGACAGGTCTTTCTCCCAAAGTTCACATGTGCATTTCTATTTTTGCTTGAGAAAACGATATACTTATTTTTTACTTCGGGAAAAACAGCTCATACATGACCTTCGCGTCATCGCTTTATGCGGCTTAACCCGGGTCGCGTCATCAATTTTGCTACACATTTTATGCGCTACTGCTGATGGTGCAGTACATTAGGTTATCCAGTACAACATATTTTTACGGTAGGAAGGTATCATTAAATCATTTCTGAATGACAGAAAAATTACAAATTGCTTATTCAACCTTTAATATTAATTTCATTATCAATATCAAGGTGGCCATTTTCAATTCGCTGTATAACGATTCATAGTTTGTTGTGTTTTCGGTTCGATTTTCAGATTTTGTTTTTCAATACTGATTCTTAATATACATTTTGATGTCTCGTCACTTTCTAAAGCTCCTACATCCTCTTCCTGTCATTCTATAGACTTTTTGGTATTTGGTTTCACAATCCTTGACATCTCGGTCTATCCAGTGCATCATAGCTTAAATTCTTTCCACAGAGATCTTTATCTCGTTTCTGATGTGGCTAGTGTGGTATTTCATGTCTCGTCCCTAAATGTAATATCTTATTGTCTTGCCTATATCTTGTCTCAGTTTCACATTATCCTACATCGTATATTTCATGTCCCAGCTGTGCATAGATGTTTATCATCTCTAGTATTACATGTCTCCTATCTTGATGTCTGAATGTCTTGGTCCTAATTTCCAAGCGAGTGTGTCGTTTATGATTTCACAGTGTCTCATCCTAAATGTCTCAGTGTCTCGTCTGTAATATCTCATTGTCTCGTCTCTAATATCACAGTGTCTTTTCTGGTATGTCTCAGTATATTATTTGTAATGTGCCACTGTTTCGTCTGTAATGTCTGAGTACTTCGTTTGTAATAACTTAGTGTCTCGTTTGTAATATATGTGTCTCCTCTCTAATATATCAGGGTCTCGTCTGTAATATATGTGTCTTCTCTGTAATATATCAGAGTCTAGTCTGTAATGTCTCAGTGTCTCTTCTGTAATATATCAGAGTCTAGTCTGTAATGTCTCAGTGTCTCTTCTGTAATATATCAGAGGCTCGGCTGTAATATATCAAAGTCCCGTCTGTAATTTATCAGAGACTCGTCTGTAATTTCTCAGTGTCTCCTCTGTAATATATCAGAGCCTCGTCTGTAATATATCAAAGGCTCGGCTGTAATATATCAAAGTCTCGTCTGTGATATATCAAAGTCCCGTCTGTAATTTATCAGAGTCTCGTCTTTAATGTCACAGTGTCTCGGCTGGTATTTCTCAGTATATTATCTGTAATGTCCCATTCTGTCGTCTGTAATATCTCAGTGTCTCGTCTGTAATATCGTATCTTATCTGTAATGTCCCACTGTTTCGTCTGTAATGTCTGAGTACTTCGTTTGTAATAACTTAGTGTCTCGTCTGTAATATATGTGTCTCCTCTGTAATATATCAGAGTCTCGTCTGTAATATATCAAAGTCTCGTCTGTAATATATCAAAGTCCCGTCTGTAATTTATCAGAGTCTCGTCTGTAATGTCTCAGTGTCTCCTCTGTAATATATCAGAGTCTCGTCTGTAATATATCAGAGTCTCGTCTGTAATATATCAGAATCTCCTCTGTAATGTCTCAGTGTCAAGTCTGTAATGTATCATTGTCTTGTCTGTTATGCCTCGGTGTCTCGTCTGTAATGTCTCATTCTGTCGTCTGTAATATCACAGTGTCTCGTCTCTAATGTCACAGTGTCTCGTCTGGTATGTCTCAGTATCTTATCTGTAATGTCCCACTGTTTCGTCTGTAATGTCTGAGTATTTCGTTTGTAATAACTTAGTGTCTCGTCTGTAATATCTGTGTCTCGTCTGTAATATATGTGTCTCCTCTGTAATATATCAGAGTCTCGTCTGTAATATATCAAAGTCTCGTCTGTAATATATCAAAGTCTCGTCTGTAATTTATCAGAGTCTCGTCTGTAATGTCTCAGTGTCTCCTCTGTAATATATCAGAGTCTCGTCTGTAATATATCAGTCTCGTCTGTAATATATCAGAATCTCCTCTGTAATGTCTCAGTGTCAAGTCTGGAATATCTCAGTGTCTCGTCTGTAATGTGTCATTGTCTTGTCTGTTATGCCTCGGTGTCTTGTCTGTAATGTGTCATTGTCTCGTCTGTTATGCCTCGGTGTCTTGTCTGTAATGTCTCACTGTCTCGTCTGTAATATATCAGAGTCTCGTCTGTAATATATCAGAATCTCCTCTGTAATGTCTCAGTGTCAAGTCTGGAATATCTCAGTGTCTCGTCTGTAATGTGTCATTGTCTTGTCTGTTATGCCTCGGTGTCTTGTCTGTAATGTGTCATTGTCTCGTCTGTTATGCCTCGGTGTCTTGTCTGTAATGTCTCACTGTCTCGTCTGTAATATATCAGAGTCTCGTCTGTAATATATCAGAATCTCCTCTGTAATGTCTCAGTGTCAAGTCTGGAATATCTCAGTGTCTCGTCTGTAATGTGTCATTGTCTTGTCTGTTATGCCTCGGTGTCTTGTCTGTAATGTGTCATTGTCTCGTCTGTAATGTCTCACTGTCTCGTCTGTAATGTCTCACTGTCTCATCTGTAATATCTCAGTGTCTCGTCTTTAATATCTCAGTGTCTCCTCTGTAATATCTCAGTGTCTCGTCTGTAATATCTCGGTGTCTCGTCTGCAATGTCTCACTGTATCGTCTGTGATGTGTCACTGTATCGTTTGTAATATTTCAGTCTCGTTTGAAATATCTCAGGGTATCGTCTGTAATGATTTAGTGTCTCGTCTGTAATATCTCGGTGTCACGTCTGTAATGTGTCACTGTCTCGTCTGTAATATCTCACTGTCTCGTTTGTAACGTCTCGGTGTCTCTGTGCATCGTCTGTAATGTCTAACTTTGTAATAGTTCAGTCTCGTTTGAAATATCTCAGAGTATCGTCTGTAATGATTTAGTGTCTCGTCTGTAATATCTCACTGTCTCGTCTGTAATATCTCACTGTCTCTTCTGTAATGTCTCACTGTCTCGTCTGTAATGTCTCTTTGTCTCGTCTGTAATATCTCAGTGTCTCGTCTGTAATATCTCACTGTCTCGTCTGTAATGTCTCACTGTCTCGTCTGTAATGTCTCATTGTCTTGTATGTAATATCTCACTGTCTCGTCTGTAATATCTCACTGTCTCGTCTGTAATGTCTCTTTGTCTCGTCTGTAATATCTCAGTGTCTCGTCTGTAATATCTCAGTGTCTCGTCGGTAATATCTCAGTGTCTCGTCTGTAGTATCTCAGTGTCTCGTCTGTAATATCTCAGTGTCTCGTCTGTAATATCTCACTGTCTCATCTGTAATATCTCACCGTCTCGTCTGTAATATCTCACTGTCTCGTCTGTAATATCTCACTGTCTCGTCTGCAATGTCTCACTGTCTCGTCTGTAATGTCTCACTGTCTCGTCTGTAATGTCTCACTGTCTCGTCTGTAATATCTCACTGTCTCGTCTGTAATGTCTCACCGTCTCGTTTGTAATATCTCACCGTCTCGTCTGTAATATCTCACTGTCTCGTCTGTAATGTCTCACTGTCTCGTCTGTAATATCTCAGTGTAAAATTAAGATTAAGAATGATTAAGATTATGAAACTTAGGAATACGGAAATAAAATGTAATGATATAGAATTCGGGTCAGAACTGAAGTGTAGCCAAAGGTTGAATAATCTCAGAAAATTTGTTAAAACCTCTCAAGGACACAATGAATACTGCAAGAAAAGGCCATAGTGTGTTGTTTTCGCCTGGGACACGTGAAACTAGCATACGCAGAGATAACTGAAAAGCAACACACAACGCCCCGCTCCTTTCCGGGATACTAAGTGTTGTTATAATTAAAGGCAGTTGAAATAATAATTTGGTGGTTTTCTTGTCATGGTCAACTTTCAAACCGTTAAATGGTAATAACTTAAAAGCATTCAGGACGATTTTTGTTCAATTTTCACTCGAATATATAAAAAACTAAACTTAGTTTCATAAAAAATGTCGTCCTCAATGCTTAAATGTAAAGTAGCAAAACACAAAACAAATACGTGCCTTAGATTGATGTTTATTATACTGACTCGCGATCATATTAACTATCGGGAGGCTTTATCTGTGAGCTGTACTTACACACATTGTATCGAATACCAATGATAAATCCTCACTCTACTTTGGAACCGAATTAAATCAGCTGTGATAAGAAATCTTCCAGTAGAGGAATCTATCACCGGTAGTCAAAACGAGGTTATTGATTTCAGAAACACGAGATTCAACCAGGTAAGTCCGTTTAAAGTCACACTTGGAGTTACCACCATGACAGAACAATTTGTGTCCGTTACAATACATTTACATTCCTGTTGCAAGCCCTTTTATAAACACAACCAAAAAGATACCGCAAACATTACTTAAAACAGAATGTTTTTGATATTCAGATTGTCAATAACTGTATTTTTATAATGTTAATAAATGGATTGAGCGGTATGTTTGCACTGTCTATACTAGGAATAACAGGAATATGGATTTTTAGCCCTTCCAATCAACAAATCAAATTTAAAAAGGTTTATGTTCATACCGGTATAAATGCAAGTCGGTAATGGAACATGAACATTTAAACTTTGCCGTGCAATCCTTATCAAAACTTTATTTTTTCAAATTTAACTGTAACAAGCATATGCAATTATTTTCATAACGGTATAAATGCATGTCGGTTATGGAACATGAACATTTAAACTTTGCCGTGCAATCGTTGTTGTTTTTTAGTTTAACTGCAACAAGAGTATTCAATGTTTAAGGAATGTAAATCATAGAAAGTATGAAGCACTGAGGGGGCTAGGTTTCTGTCCCCTCTCTTTGGTGATTATCCTTGAATAAACACAGTACATAAGACTATACTAAATCCTACAAAAAAAAGTATATAACAAATATGAAAAATCAATGGGAACAGCTATATGTAAATATGTAAATATGAGAATGAACTGACATAATGATACATGTTTGTCTAGATATGAACTGAGTTAATGATATACGTAAAGATATATATATGTACATAGAAAGATAAAGGATATTTTCTCAAAACTAACAGCTCAAACTATCCAAGATACGAGCATCACATCCGGGTAATATACGAGTCTTCCGCAGCCTCGTCATCAGAAAAGTCTTCCAGATTAATTGGTACTGTCTGGACTGCCATATTTTTAGCGACAGCAATAGCGTCCTCAAGATCAATAAAAAAGTTACCCTTGGGGATTTTATCAAACACACCAGCATGATCCATAGTGTTCCGAATGTCTGCCGAACATCCGGCAAGGAATACGTTGATATTGACGTGTTGGTATTCTGCGTATATATGACTGAGTACACTTGCACCGGAAATGTCCAAATAGTTCATTGTGGAGCAATCGACGATAATGTGGTGAATTTTCCTCGCGTGTTCCAGCCACTCGACGCTTACAGCCTCGTTCCCGTCAACAGGGTCAATCTCCAGTTCTGTAATCATGCTAATGCTGGACGCTACACTGATTCGCCGGCTTCGCAGTGGGTAGCTATCAATCGACAGGAAGTTATGCGATGGTGTTCCGTTTTGGCCATTCACTTTCCCGTTTCCATTTCCGACAGGAACAAGGTTTTCCTCGGAAAGACCGAATGCCGGATTGTCCGCACTTGTGTTGGATATGCTTGAAATTACACTTTCTTTTCCGTATCTCATGTCTTTTCCGTTTTGGTCAAAACGGGTTGATGATAACTCACTTTTCATATTTCCATCGGTTGGTTTCATGGAAGAGCCTACATATGTGTTTGTTGGTTCGCCGTTCTTCATTTCTCCACCTCCGAATTTATCGTCGTACTTTTTCTGCTTCTGTAGCATTTTGAGAAGTTTCCTGGGGTTGATCGTTCCATTGTATAGGGTGTTCCGGAATATTTCGGCGTTGGCAAAATAAAGATTAGATTGAAAACGGAAGATCTTGACTCCTGGAATTTCGCGCGTGTTTTTGTACCTGTTGTTCTCCACCATAATACCGTCGTTTGGAGTCACGGCTAGTCGGTAACCTCGCGAGAATTGGGTCTGAAATACGACAGTGAAAAGGGATACAATAACCCCAATACCTAGACCAAGATCGATATCAAGGAATACGACACTAAAAATGGTGAAAAACCAGATGATAAAGTCGAATTTATTGACTCTCCAGAACTTTCTACAGTCCATCATCTGAACGAACAGTCCTTTCAGTGCGACTACGATAATAGCGGCCAGCGCAGCCTTGGGAAGAGGCTTGAACAAAGCACTAATCACCAGGATGACAAGCAACATGAGTATTGTGACGAATATTCCGGTAACGGTTGTCTTGGTGTTCATGGAGGAAGCCACCATTGATCTGGGAGGGGCAACAGCAGACGGAAAACACAACATGAATCCGCTCAGGAAGTTACACATACCGTATGCTATCAGTTCCTGGCTGTCGTCGACCTCATAATTATGTTTCTTGGCGCAGATCTTTGCCATGGCAATGGTGTTTGCAAAAATCAAAATGGCGATCACAAAACTGTCCACTATGTAATCTTGTATCCCTGTCAGATCGGGAAGTACCGGCGGAGGAATTGTGGAGGTCAGCTGACCGACTACCGCTACGTGGAAAACTTTGTCCTTGTTCGGCACAGCTTCCTCGTCGAATCCAATAGCGAAAGATAGCACTGTTGCCAAAATGACCACCAGAAGTTCCACTGGGATTGGAATGAAAAGTTTGTGCTTAAACCGTTCGTTTATACACTCTTTAACCAGAAACAATATTACAATACTTATCACTCCTATTATCGGCGTTGCAGGTTGCATTTCATGTACCTTCCCAAAAATAGCTTCATATGTATAGATAATTTTAAACACGCCGCCAAAACGGGGGGTATTGATTCCAAGGAGTGCGGGGATTTGACTTGTTGCAATGTGAACAGCAGCACCGGAGGTAAAGGCACTAAAGAAAGATTCGGACAAGTAGGCGGTGACAAACCCGAGCCGGAAACAGCCCATTATAATCATGATAAGACCAGCCGACATCGCAATGTTAATGGCGACGTTTTCCTTATAATCCATAAATTCCGGAATGTCTTCCCATGCTTCGAACGTTGAATTAGATGTTCCATTCCCGCCTGTCATCAGATGCATGTTCATGTCCTTGAAGACTTCCGCTTGTCGGTCTACAACACTCGCAGTTACAATACATATCACGGCGCTCGTTCCCATGGAAACATGAGCAGACGTTCCGAAAAACACATATAGGATCACAGGCCAAACAGAAGTGTAGAGGCCATTTTCAACTTTCACAGATGTAAGCAAACCAAAAGCAAGAGCCTGGGGGATGTGGAGGATACCGATTGTAACTCCGGACAAAATGTCAATCAGCAGGTTTTCCTTGAAGTTGTAGTAACGAATAACCTTGATAATTGGTAGAAGCGTACTGAGTTGTTTGAACACGCATTTCGCAGAACAGTCACATTTGCTTCTGATTTTCTGCCCCAATGACATGCTGTCCTGTTCGTCCCCGCGAAGGTTGAGTTCGTCAAAGGCCACTTGGGTATAGGGGGGTCGCTTGACGAATATAGTGCTCTCCTGCCCAGAGACGGGTGGGCACGAAGAGCGCCTATTTTTCTTTCCGTTCATTGCAGGTTCCATCGGCATGCCTTCTACCACCGATACTGACCGCTGCATACTGCTCATGTGCTTTTGAATGGGGAACCTGTAAAGATGCAATAAAACACTCATTAATCAAGTGAGACGTCATCGTTTGATGGATGTGACGTTTAGACCGGGAAGTTTGCGCCTCGTCTGACAGTGCAGCGTATACATATAATTTGGTAGTTCTGTTTTGTGACGATATAGGAAGGTCGCCCATAGCTGACGTTTTATGCATTGAGTGTCAAGTTACAGGGCCGTGTGCGGTTCTAGGCAGATTTGTCAACTTTGTTACACGCAGTTCATCTTTAGATCCGCATTGAACCAAAAGGTGACGTGCCGTTGCGATGTTTACCATTGATTTTATGTTAATTTTCAATTCTTTCAATACGTTTTCTTTGTCTCCCTTTTCCGATTCTGTTGCTACGAAATTCTGTACACAACTTAAAACTTTGACCAGCTGCCGTTGGTAATATTTACATAAATCGCTATGATAAGTCATGAAGTCGGCTAAAACCATTTTTTACAGCAAAAGTTAACACCGTGTATATGGGAATGACATCAAAAACTGCTCAGTTTCATCGACAAATAAGTTGTATCAATTATATACGGGCTGAATAGTTCAGTTGTGTGCAATTTTTTTCTCGAAAATAGAACAATAAAAAAACAAAACAAAAGTTTAATTACATGTAACATATAATAGAATAGGAAAATAATGCATCGTAAAAGATGTATGGCGCGCATCTATATATTTGTTTCCTACAGCTTCAGAAATCTACATACATGTTGACATCAATGGATATTTCTGTTATCATTGGAACGTGGGAAGTCTAGTTACTTTTTAACTTCATTTATATTTCACCTATTAAAAGTTTGGAAGATAGAATATTAAGTGATTATGAAAATTATACTCAAATCAGTATTCGAGTTATATCCAATTGTTTGTGAAATTTCTATACTTTATTAGGGATAATGTTCTTTTAGTAGCTCATGATTACATGACGTTATCAATGTTTTTATCGCCAAATTGTTTTTAACTAAGTGCTTGGATTGTTATACGAAATTAAAAAAATGTAATTTTGGATTTTTTACACCCAGACCACTGTTGTAGATTTTTACAACCAGACCACTGTTGTACGTTTTTACACCCAGAACACTGTTGTACATTTTTACACCCAGACCACTGCTGTACATTTTTACACCCAGACCACTGTTGTACACTTTTACACCCAGACCACTGCTGTACATTTTTACACCCAGAACACTGTTGTACATTTTTACACCCAGACCACTGTTGTACAATTTTAAACTCAGAACACTGTTGTACATTTTTACACTCTGAACACTGTTGTACATTTTTACACCCAGAACACTGTTGTACATTTTCACACCCAGAACAGATATCACAAGATATCGTTTTAAACCTGAAGAACAGACACAAATAATTAGCCATATCCGTACTTATTTTTTAATGACACGACGATAAAGATAAAGTGTTTAGATTTTAAGATGGTCAAAGCTTGAAACATTCCGTTTCTGGCTGAAAAAGTCATCGCTTGTTACCTCCGTATCTGCGATCATGATAACAGTTCTAACGATGTCACTGGTATACAAAATGGTGACAGTAACCAATCCGGATGGTGTCGTACAACACCTTCAAGTCTTACAAAAGAAACTCTATATTGAGTAGGATATACCTACACAACTTATCACGCGTTCTTGGAAATGCGTGCATTTGTAACAACACGTTGTGGTGTGCACCAGTCACATATCTGATTTGATTCTAAAGCTGTACGGTGAACCATCACAACAGTTTGTGATGTTCAAGGACTGTGAACGACAACTCACTTCCGAAGAATGCAGCGGCACAGGTAAACTGGTGCTAACATAACAATTCAAGGTTGCGTTGTATCTGCACACATATATGTTACAACACACGTGTACGATTGAAAAACAGTGTGATTGAATTGGAACATGTTTACATAGGATATGTTACAATATTGGCTATATCCTATAACAAGATAATACGGGGACGAGAGACTCATTATGTATCAAGTAGTAAACAAGAACAATGCCACGTCAAGAGCATGTACAAGATACATGGGTGATGTCCGACTAATAGAAAAGCCTCAGGCCAGCAGATCAACACCACATCATATACGTAACATCCTAGCTATGAGAGTTTATAAATCCATAAGTTATAGCAGAGCTTTTAAACATTCTCTAGGTCATGTGTGAGCTTATAATCTACGTTACGTCTAAGTTATATAGGAGCTTATAATTACCATGTACATGTAAAATCTTAGTCACATGAGAGCTTGTATGTCTATTTAAGCGTATATGACAACCTGATATATCCATAATAGCTAAGGTGTGGCTTTTATTGGAGATCCCGATACTGAAATAACACTACAATAGTTATTGGTTACTAAGCACGGATGTATAGATTTAATGAGACATGGTATAGTAATTCTACAATGTACAACCACCTAACCGATAAGATATGTACGTGAGACTGTTTATTTATAACACATGAAGTTTTTCTTATAAGAAACTTAACAGCGTAACATGTATGTACACAGAAAGGATTAGCTGTAACAGTGCTGTGTACACAATAATTCCAAGCTGTAATAGTGATGCGTAAACAGTCTTAGCTGTTACAGTCAGTTATACACAACAATTCTTAGCTGTAGTAGTGCTGTGTATACAACAATTCTTAGCTGAAACAGTGCTGTGTATACATCAATTCTTAGCTGGAACAGTGCTGTGTATACAACCATTCTTAGCTGGAACAGTGCTGTGTATACAGAAAGTCTAAGCTGTAACAGTGCTGTGTACACAACAATTCTTAGCTGTAACAGTGCTGTATTCACGACAATTCTTAGCTGTAACAGTGCTGTGTACACAACAATTCTTAGCTGGAACAGTGCTGTGTATACAGAAAGTCTAAGCTTTAACAGTGCTGTGTATACAACAATTCTTAGCTGTAACAGTGCTGTGTATACAACCATTCTTAGCTGGAACAGTGCTGTGTATACAGAAAGTCTAAGCTGGAACAAGGCTGTGTACACAACAATTCTTAGCTGGAACAATGCTGTGTACACAACAATTCTAAGCTGTAGTAGTGCTGTGTATACAATACACCTATCAAAACTACTTTCTTAAAATGTTTTGTTTTATAACTTATAGTAAAACTGATGGTAAATAGTTTGTAAAGTAACTGTATAATATTTATCAACAGGTGTTCTTGTTTCTTGGATAGAAATTTGATACATGTACATGTATTCTAGAACAAGATATTTTATCAAATTTAGGTACCTTTTTATTTTTAATTAAAACATCGCGCATATTTTTAAGAAGCAAGAATTGTGAATGTTTTATTTGAATTACGATAGGCATCGTCGGTTCCATTTCGGTATCAGAATAAACGGGATATTGAAAATAAGTATAAAAAAGCGAATATTAATTTATCAAATACCTGCGTTGAAGACTCTGATGTCGATTGCAACGTTCCGTTTGCAAAAATATCCGTTTTAATATGTCCTCATTTCACGATTGGTCAACTGTTTGCACTGGTGATATTTTTTCCGACCGGCTCGGAGTGTTCTGTATCATTGGGCGCATGGCCTTGACATGTTTTCATCTCATTATGTTTTAACATTACGTAAAGGCGTAAGTATCGGGATGTCAATCTTTAACAAGAATTCTCTATTGTTCTTTTGAATACTTCAGAGATCTGGTGACTGCCTGTAATGACAGGTACGTTTTCACACCTCACGTTTGGGTGTTTATCTGGAGAACGTCTCTCACATACATTCATTAATGCATGATTATTTTACCGCGCAGATAGCTCTAGTGGTTCAGGTCTAGTGAACCTACACCGGGTGTATTAGGGACAGTTTATAATCAATTAATGAAGTTACCGTGCAGAAATCTGTCGGAAAAACTGCGGTTAAACTTGAAGCGATAAATGTTCATGAATGCATACGCAGTACCTTTCGTATCTTTAGTTTTACGTATAATTTAATAAAAATGTAAGAAACGATAAAGATATAATCAACAGCATTTACAATGAACAGTACTTAACCCCTTGTCTTTATTATTAATTTCATGTTATTTTGCTGTTAATTTCTAATTTGGCTGCTAGAAAGTATTCAAAATGTGCTTAAACACGACATACATAGTTAACTGATAGATCTCTGCAACTGTGGACAATACCCGCTACCTATGTATATGATAGATAAACCATATAATATGATAGATAAACCATATATGATAGATAAACCATATATGATAGATAACCCATGTATAAAGCGAATGAGATACGGAACATTAACTTATTTAATCAGGAGTAACGTCCGCCCTGATGTCGTGAAACCTGCATTTAAGTATGGAAAGTCACTGTTTTACTTTATAATATATTTATGTAATTTATTGCATTGTACCACTACATATATCCTTGTATATGCAATGCATTTATGGCACAAAGACATTTGTGTCTATTGCTGAATAAAGATTACATATGATAGATAAACCATATATGATAGATAAACCATGTATATGATAGATAAACCATATATGATAGATAAACCATACATGAAAGATAAACCATACATGAAAGATAAACCATATATGATAGATAAACCATGTATATGATAGATAAACCATGTATATGATAGATAAACCATATAATTTGATAGATAAACCATATATGATAGACAAACCATATATGATAGATAAACCATGTATAAAGCGAATGAGATACGGAACATTAACTTATTTAATCAGGAGTAACGTCCGCCCTGATGTCGTGAAACCTGCATTTAAGTATGGAAAGTCACTGTTTTACTTTATAATATATTTATGTAATTAATTGCATTGTACCACTACATATATCTTTGTATATGCAATGCATTTATGGCACAAAGACATTTGTGTCTATTGCTGAATAAAGATTACATATGATAGATAAACCATGTATATGATGGATAAACCGTGTATATGATGGATAAACCGTGTATATGATAGATAAACCGTGTATATGATAGATAAACCATATATGATAGATAAACCATGTATATGATAGATAAACCATATATGATAGATAAACCATATATGATAGATAAACCATGTATATGATAGATAAACCATATATGATAGATAAACCATACATGAAAGATAAACCATATATGATAGATAAACCATGTTTATGATAGATAAACCATGTATATGATAGATAAACCATATATGATAGATAAACCATTAATTTGATAGATAAACCATTTATTTGATAGATAAACCATATATGATAGATAAACCCTATATATGATAGATAAACCATGTATATGATAGATAACCCATGTATTTGATAGATAAACCATATATATGATAGATAAACCATGTATATAATAGGTAAACCATATATGATAGATAAACCATGTATATGATAGATAAACCATGTATATGATATATAAACCATATATATGATAGATAAACCATTTATGATAGATAAACCATATATATGATAGATAAACCATGTATATGATAGATTAACCATGTATATGCTAGATTTACCATGTTTATGATAGATAAACCATATACATGATAGATAAATCACATATATATATATGATAGATAAATCATATATATGATAGGGTATATACTCGTATACAGTAGGATATATACGTGTATGTTTCCATTAAACCAAATTGCCTTCACCTATGTTATTTATGATCATAGGATAATTCATGTTTTATAAAAATAGTACTTTTGGCTGTATTGTCAGATTTGAGTAGTACGACTGTTTGATTGAAAAATCAAACATATATTTAAATTAGGCGACATGTAAATTATCGGTTATGGTATGCATGAACTTCCATTCTGTAATTGAAATAATTTGTTAATAAATTCGTAAGAAAGATTAGATAAAAGGATATACCTGCATCGCTGAAACCTATGGTGTCGTGAGTGACGACGGTCAGAATTTATGGCCCGTTTTGCGCCTGTTGTCATTTCCCGGCTGGTCAATTGCAATGACTGACTGACTGGCTATAGAGTACTAGTTATATACACGTGTACCCTCATTTACTTATCTTATGACACGATTGGTTCATCTCGTTAAGTTTCAGTTTTAAGATTACGTGATGGCTTAAGTGTCAAATAGTCAATCATTAACAGGTATTCACCATTGTGATCGTCGAGCGCCTCTGAATAAGATCTGCTACCGGCCTGTGGTGACTGGTCAGTTCCCCGGTTGATAATTCCTGCTAATTATGTACGTATTCACCTTTGTAATGACTAAATATCCTTTGTACCTTTGTTACACCTGAGATGTAATCACCTGCGTGAGTCCCTATTCAGGGCAGGGCTTCACACAGCGGGTATTTTTACCGTTTAATTCAAAATCCGAAGTAATTGTTCTTGTGTAGTATGAACACTGCTAGCTTCCATCTTTAATTATTGTTTCATTTTGGTACTGACCAGGGTGACGTAGGAGTCCTCGACTATTACGTAACTTAGTGTTACACGCACAGCTAGTACAGACAATATATAATGATAGTCACAGGGAGGTCATACTGTATATATTGAATTATCTTTCCCTTTTCTGCGATATCTAGTACAATGACAAGGGAAAACTGGCGTAGACTTAGGCTATTGTCTTAACATTTTGATATCAGGACCCAAATCGGATCACTCTTTGCAAAACATTATATTTCATATCAACAAATGTGTTATTACAATAATGTAGCAGTAAAAATGTCTGCTCATGTGCTATCTGCACACACCATATAGTGTGAGTTGTCCCCCTTTGGAATCTACCTACATGTTTTATATAACAACTATTTAATTTAATTTTACTGCTGCTTGTGTTATTTAATTTAATGTACTTCAGTAATATACGTTTTATAATAATTGATATTTATTTTAGATTTGAGCTCCATTATTTAAAAGATCATTACTTTTTTACAATATCATAATTATAGCTCTTGTTTCTATTTATGACTTCATTGTCTCTTTTTAATTCACACTATATTAGTGTATATCCTGTAATTTTTTTACACTTTGCTACATTAGCATATATGTACATTACACTAGTATATAGTGTCTTAACTTGTCTTTCATAACACTTGTGTGACATACAAGTGTGATATTATATGCTCTACTGTATAATTTTAGCATATCTAATTTGAATTGTTGTCCTGATTTTATAGTTATTCATAAGTACTGTGATCCTTGTTAAATTTTATATATGTTTTGTCGCAAGAATAGCACTACAGTGCTAATGTTATTATGTTACATGTATATGCGACGTTAAATAAAGCTTCTTGAATCTTGAATCTTGAATTTATAGTTATACATCATTTTTATTTTTTTTAGTCCAATAGCGTCAGAAGACGTAGTTCAAACTCATTTTTTTTTTTTTTTTTATTGTTGTTAAAAAAATGGCACGTGCAAGGGCTATGTAGTTTGCTTCGGACTGTAGGAATAGATTCCGACTAAGCCATACTTATATTCATACGACTTCCAACGATCAACACAAAATGTTAACATGTTACAAAGAAATGTAGCGCTAAATGTTGCAAACATTCCGGCTGTGTTCCGTTTCGGGTACTGTCATTTGCAAAACGTGCAAAATCATTTGCAAAATCTGTAAACGCTAGTTGGTTACATAAGAGTGTTCTATAAATATCTCACTGAAATCATTCCTTTTGATACACACACAAACAAATATACCACCCCATGAATGTTCAATGAATGAAAACAAATCATGGTTTGGTGATCCATTTTGGGTACTGTCACCCTACACGTGATTTCTTCTCGATTCTATAGAGTTGATGACTACATATAATACATGTACCATTGTACAAACAATTTGAAGTTTCAAAATTGAGCAAATATATCAAGATAAGGTCACACAAACTGATCTCGTTGAACTATACATGTCATCAGAGACATATAAAGCCAGTAGTATATACGTCTCTGATGTCATCTTTCTTTTTTTCATGATTAATGAAACTTTCTCTGGCATTTTGTTTACAGAGTTGACATCAGTATACGGTATTCAAAACGTGTGTCATAACCCGGTTAACAAAACTACATATGTAAATATATGTACTAACTGCAGAATTTACCTCTAAGCTGTCTAATTACATGAGATATAGAACGTTTTAAATACTTTCGTCTGAATCAGTGTGTGCCAAGATGGTTAAAACGAAAACATCAGTTTTTCGTTAAAAACAAATAACAGAATATAGACAACATCACGCGGTTAAACGTTTTAAAGTCTCTTCGGGACGTTTTTCTTTCTCTACGGTAGGTGTGATGACGTGAAGATGTGAACGTTCACATTTTATATTACACTTGTCCAGATACGTTTATGTGCTATGTACTGTCCTCAACTGTAGCATCTCCTCAGACTGAAGAACGGACAGACGCGTAATAATGATGACAAACAACAAATTTATCAAGTTGAAGTATTTTTTTCGTTATGTTCATTCTGAAACCAACTTTTTACTTGAAATTCGTTCAGTATGTATTTAACATGAGTTTTTTGCACGTTTTGTCTTCTTGAAATGATGACGTAAGAGTTGATAAAAGTTTAACTTTGAAAGTTAATAAGAGATAACTTTTGACTTGACGGCGGGATATTCTGGAGTGTCCAAAATAAACCCGATGTGTTCCGTACAGAGTCTAGAACCTAACTGATTTACAATACAACATATCACAGTTAAGTACATGTACGTACAATAAAGGTAACTGCTGTTTAAGTGACAGGTGTCGCTAATTGTTAGATCAATTACCCGTGGTCAGTGTCCACAAAATAAAGGCTATTACAATTACAGATTTTTTCAGATTTTTGGAAATAAAATCTGACAATTACACAAATCCTGTTGCATAATGTTATGGACAATAGTAATGAGTTACGAAAGTAAGTTTACAGCAAGTAGGTACTTATGGATATAAAAACTTCACACATGAGTCTTATCTCAAATGTCCCTAAGCGATATAGCCAAATTCTGTCTAAATGTCTTATAAACGTGTTTTGTTTTAAGTCACACTTGAATTGTTAGATATGAACAATTCGAAATATATATTTAATAAAAGATGGTAAGATTAAAGTTTTTCATGAATAAGCAATTATTTACACAATTAATTTCAGCAATAATTTATCACAAAATTTCTGTGTCATATACTCCTAGACAGTAGAAATAGAACACGACGGAGGCACACCTCGCTGTCCCTGTCTTATTGTAATGGTACTACGTATACCATCCCAGTTTTCAAACACGTATTGATCCATTTATTGTATGTCGTACTGAATCATGCACAGTCATGCATGGAATATCAAGTTTTCAGTCCATATAGCTATCATCCTTAATTGTTCTATCATATATGTAAAACCTGAGTTCTTTCTTAGCATTTTAACAAAATGAAACCTAAGAAAACCACAGAAGATACATGTAAGCACTGCAGTTAGCAGATGATTGTGACGTTACAGTCCTAACATTACATGTGACTTAAATTCTAAAATATCGACTCTCACGTGATGTCATGGCCAATCCGGAATTGCGAACCTAACTATTTTTAATTGTTTATTTTAATTTTGAACTTTGATTATTGAACTTTGACCTTTCCCGAAGAAACTGTTTTCTTATATAAATATATATTTAATGTTAGGAAGGTCTAACGCTTCACTATAAACCTTGCTACGCTTGTTTAATGGCGATACGTGAAGTTTTGGTACATATATAATTGTATGTTCCGATTTGGGCTTGCAAGGTAAGAGCCGTTCATCGACGTTTCCAAACTTTCCCTGCTCACAGTAGCTCTAGCATGATATGGTTGTTGACGCCAATGTCATGACCAGATATTTACATAATGGTCTTTCCGTTGGTGTAACCCCCCTGACTCAGGAAGCAACTGGTTTCCGTGTATATCAAATATGATATCGTCGTCAAGTGTAGCATCCCGTTGTCAAGGCAGTTGGCAAACAAAATATAATAACAAGGATAATTAACCAATCACTTTCAATGAGATTACAGTATCACATAATGTATTACATTGTAATAGGACATATACTATACTCATAATAATAATCCGAGGCTCTTATATACCGCTTAATCACAACCTAGTTTGTAGGTCGTCTCAAAGCGGTTCACAAATTATTATCTGTGATTATAGGGCCTTTGCAACCAGCCAATATCTTTCTCAACTCCCTGGGGAGCATACAGCCGGTGCTGCAATTTCGGCGCTCACATCTAGCATTCAAAAATTCTAGCACTGCCCAAACACTTACTCATTTACAGCTGGGTAGACTGGAACAAGCGGAGTTAAGTATCTTGTTCATAGAAACAAAACAGTGTCGTGACGTGACTCGAACCCACAACCCTTCGGTCACGAGCCCGGCATCCTACCACTACACTACTGATACGGAGTTTTCTCTCATTAAAGTAGCTGAAACTATAATTTTGATTAATTGATATAGCTCGCCTTTCTACTTTAGTAAGATTTTACAATAAAAAAAAAACTCTAGATGTTTCGGACGGTCCAATAATACTTCACTCGTCCATTTAGTGTTTCTAATAGTACGGTAAATAGGACTTAATATGAAGTTACAAGAAAAAAATGATCAAAAACTGATAGCATGGATTTTTCACCGGTACTAATTAAGGGCAGCTTGTAATTGTTTCATGACCCTGTAACCGGTTGTTGGTGCTCTGCTTAGTCATTTCCGAAGAGTTTTCATAAAAAAGGTATATCAACGTCTACAGTTTAACAAATAAAATACGTACCTCTCAACGTTTAGATTTAGAGAAATTCTGTTTTGATTTAAAAGCTACAGGGCCTGTCCTAAGGCGAGCGTTTTACCGTTATGAGTCCAGGTATTCTAAAGGTTAAGTCCTACTTAAAGTTTTCTCTGATTCGATAACTTTTTACTTTATAGGTCGTTTATACATGTAAATAAATGACACTATATGATGCTTTCATTTTTGCATCAATTCTTTTAATTATTTCTGAATAGCTTTAAACGTATTTATATGAAGCAAAAAAAAGCAAGAACAAATTCGTAACCTAGCTACACACTCATTGATAATTTACCCGTATATATGTTTGTATC